CCCCCCCCCCCCCCCCTCTCTCTCTCTCTCTCTCTCTCTCTCTCTCTCTCTCTCTCACACGCACGCACACACACACACACTCACACACACAAACAAACACATACACACATCCATCTCCACCCATCTCCACATGGAGGACAGAAAATCACTTATAGACCATTACACCTGAGAAACAGCTTTTCCAAGTTTATTGGCCATCAACCCTCAACAGCATCAGTAAGGTCAGAGTCTTCATATGTACTTCAATTGCTGGCAATAGAAAATTAGAATTTCAGAACAGACCCATCAAAGACTTGGGATACTTACGTTTTGCCCATAATTTGACTGCTCTTAAAGTGAGTCTAAAAGTTTCTTTATTTGGCACTAAATGCAAAATTTCATCAGTAACTCTGCACCCTGAAAAAGACAAAACATTGATTTTTCACTAAGGAACAAAACTCAGTTAATTCAAGTGGTCTAACCTTCAAACTCTCAAATGATAAAATAAGTCAGGATGCATTTAAAATTTTGAAACACATGTGAAAAGGTCTTTACTTTTGAGGAATTGAAAGTACATGGGTAATGAAATCTAGTATTGAAATAGAAGGGTCTGAGTTCCTTTTCAGTTTCTTCTACATCTGACTTAATCACAATGCCTCCAAGTTATTAAACTGCTATTGTTTCAATATAAACCTTTCCATAGAGAAGTGTAATTTACTAGACAAAATAAAGTGAGCGCTCAGAAGGCAGAGGCAGGCAGATCTGAGTTCCAGGCCAGTCTGATCTACAGAGTGATTTCCAGGACAGCCAGGGATACCCAGAGAACCCTGTCTCAAAAATCAAAAATAAACAAATGAACAAAAAAACAAAGATGTAAAACAAGAGACTATAATAAATCAGTGGCTCTCAAACCTGAATAATCTGTGAGGTCAAATCTATTTTTGTAAGAATACTAATCTTTCTTTGCCATTTTCACAGTCTGTTAACTTTGCATTGATGGGGAAATGGCAATGATGGCTAAAAGTACTGTCACCTTAGAGGTCAATCATGGCAGTGGCAACAAAGTGCAGAAGTATACAATGTAGATACTATAGTTAAGAAAAAAAACCAACAAAAGGAAAGAAGTGTGTCATCATTTCAGTGGTTACTTGAAATTAAAACAGCAGATAAACAAGATTACACAGTGAGTATTCAGTAGATAATCTCTGAAAAATAAACTAGGTAAGTTCCTTGCCTCAAGGAAAACAATGATACTACTTATTATGGATAAGAAAATGTATGCTTTCAAGTTATATTAGCTATAAATCATTGTATCTGCTATTGTGAACCTCACAGCTTCTAATACTTTAAAGACTCTCATGACAGAATTGGTGCTAATATTAATTAATCAATACATTTAAAAACCACTTTATAACAAAGTCTGTGAAAACATTTGGAAGATAAAAATAACTTTGCGAACTAACATTTTCCAAACAGTCAGATCACTGGACATTAATGTGACAAGGTAATTCCATTTCTTTTCATATTTTAACACAAATAAGTTATTAGATAACAGGCAAAAGCAGGTAAGGCAATTTGAAAACAAAATCTACTTTAGACATAAAAAATTATTAATTTAAAAGGTTTTTTATTTCTAGTGAATTATAAATATTCAAAACATTTATTTTTATTTATGATATGGTAAATATTGATATATAATACAGATGAACAAATGTATTTTGGGGTTCTCAATAAATGTTAAAGGTTTACAGGGCTCCTGAGACTAGTAAGTTTATGAACCTCAATTCTAAACTTAATATTTCAAATAAATGATACTTTTGAGGATATTTAAATGGGATCATACTATTTTTATAAAGAAATAACTATGACTTCAAATCTTCTGGATCTGAGATGGTATGCAAGGCCTCACATACACTAAGCTTGTGCTCTAAAACTGAGCTGTACTCCAACTATTCTTAATTTGTTCAAGCCTTAAAATAGTCTATTAATAATTCTGCAAAAAAGCTCTATTTACTTGTTTTCAAGCAGGGATCTAAGATTTCTTTAGAAACTTACCATTTAAGCTGCGAATACACCGTATATCAAGGCTTCTTAGGCGAGAGTCGTCTCTTAGATCTAAATTATCTGATATGGTTTGTATTGCCAGTCTTGCAAAGACTAGATCAATCTTTGGAAAGAGGTTAAAAAAAAAAAAAAAAAAAGAAAAAAGGAGACAAATATTACTTCCTATTCTCCTCAGCCCCAACTCCAAACATAGAAAGTTCCAATTTCTAGTTTGAGACATTCTAACAAAACATCAAAAGGCCTATGAAGGTGATCTAATGCGGGACAATTACTCTAAGTCTTGAAATAAAGATGGAAGATCCAACACACGTTTACATTCATTCCCTCTTGAAAGTCAACTAAAGTATTAGGAAAAATGTGCTTTGTTTTGGTTTAGTTTGTTTTGATTTTATGGCATAACCTACTAGGAAAATGAGACAAAACAAAGAGCAGCAGAAGGCATGGAAGCTGGAAAACAGGTGGGCAGAAGGCAACAGACCCAGCAGACCTAGGAAAACAGACCGAAACGTTTTTTTCAGGAAACAGGACAGGTAGCTACAAATAAATACACAAATATATCTAAAAGAACATTTAGAAAATATAAAAAGTACTTTTAGAAATTAAAAATAGGGCAGTGGAAATCATTACAAAGCTTCAAAGACAAGAAAACATCAAAAAGGCAGAATAAAAATATGAAGATGTGGTTAATATATGAGAAAGAAGAATTTGTGTATGTGTACGCATGTGCAATTTTATTTATTTATATTTATAGAAAGCTGTTCTGGAGACTCAACAAACAAATGTTAAGATTCCATGAAAAAAGACACATGTGTGTAAACAAAGGCAGGAAATCCAAAAGAACTTAATGAAAGTTCCAAGAATTGAAGGAGTTTCCATACTAAAAGAGGACTATTGCATGCCAAGCACATCAATTAAAAACACACACCAAAGCATATCATCTTCATAAATTCTACAAGTATGAAGACAAAATAAAAACAAAACAACTAAATGAGACAAAATTGGTCACACATAAAAAGAAGAAAGACTAAAAATGGTATATTTTTCAACAGCACAGAAGCTATAAAACAATGAAGGCCTTAAAGTATGTAAAAAATCATTTCCTACCTAGTATGATGTACTCAGCAAAATTATGAATTCAGTGATTTTTAAGCATGCAAGATAAAAAGAAAACAAATTCTTTTTCAGGAATCCAATGGATGAGCTCCAGTAAAATGGTACCACATCTAGAAAGAAGAAAAGTCTAGAGTAGGGACAGAAACTTTCAGGAGGATGCTAGAGAGAACACCAAGATGCCCGCTGTGCCCCAAGATGGGCAATGGCTGGCTGAGACGAGAAGAGGTGACAAGATTCAGGGGACAATTTCTCAAGATGCTGATGACTCTCAGCTTAACGGAGATTCTGACAACCAGAAGAGACTGGTGGTTTAAACTAGACAAAAGTAAAACAACGAAACTAACAGAACCAATAACCACTAACACCCGAGGAAAAAATGTTATAGGGCAAAGGAATGGTAATTCAGTACTCAGTACTGAGCTTTGAAAATTGTTTTTAAAATAATAATGTAAACAGACCACAGCTCAAAACGAAAATTATAACAGAGCGATTATTTTAGATGATTATGGGATGAGGAAGGGTGTGTACAAAAAGCATGAGGGAGAGATGGAGGTTGGCTCACTGTCCACGGTGAGCGGTCAAGAGAAATGGGAAAGAAGGTAAAAAGACCACTATTTAATTCTTTAAACTATGTGGTTAGTGCCAGGCAAGCTGGTACATACCTGTAAGCTTAACTCCCAGGAAGACAGCGAGAGTTACATAGTGAGATTATTTCAAAACCCAAGCCCCAAAACAAATCAAACAAAAACATGCCAATGCCAAGTTTGATTTTGAAACAAAACTTATAGGTTAAATATTTCAATTGTCAAATATAAAGCATATTAAATACTTACTTCAATACCATCAAATTCAAACTTTATAACAGGCACAAAGGCATCTTCTACAGCCTATAAAAGGAAGACAAAGATAACATAGGGGTTAGCCCTTCAGCCTTCCGAACTGCCAATACCTTACCTTTTCTTCTAATTGGTATTTTATTCAGTTAAAAAAAAGTTTAAAAAAGTTTTTGGTCTAATATGCAGGTTAAGGCCTTCTTTTCTATAGTTTATGTTACGGGATCACACAAAATGTCTCTGTACTTATTATGTAATTTATCCTGTTGAGAATATGTGTCAGAAACTGGAAAGCAGAACTGTTGTTATCTGGGTACTATGTATGGGGTCCAAATTGAAAATTAATTATTACAAAAAGCATTAAGTGTAAACTGTATGGCTACCCTCTCCTGTTACCCTGGTACTCAGGAGGGAGAAGCAAGGGGCTCAAAAGTTCAAGGTCACTGCTGGCTACACAATGAGTTTGGGCATGGGGTGCATAAGATGCCTAAAAAAAATTACAAAAAGCATTAGTGCTAAATTAAAAAAAAAAAAAAAATCGGAGGTCTTATATAATTCATCAAAAAAGAATGCTAGGGGCTGGCTCAGTCCAGTACCTGAGCTGCAAACACGGACCTGAGTTCAGTCCACAGAACCCAACACGGAGCACAGCAGTGCAGTAGGGAGGAGCCAGGAGGCTCCTTAGGGCTCACCGTCCAGTCCCTTTACCCTAACTGGGGACTCTAGGCCAATGAAGACTGTCAGGAAGTAGACAATGTTCTTCAGAAGGACACTCACAGTTGTCCTGTGGCCTCTATAAGCAACACACAAGTGTATCACCCCCACACACTTGCAAATACATACATACAGTATTTTACTGGTAGAACTGAGGCCAGTGTTTTCTAGATTGCTAGTATGGAAATGTTATTTGCTAAATGAAAGGCTAGATATACACTGTGTCATTAACTAAATTCTTACATATAATATCACCCACAATTTGATAGACATCAATTATTTATCAGCTATTATAACAAGTGGTTTGAGTCTACTATCACATTAATTCTCAAAAATATCTCATAAAAGTTATCATCAGCTGGGTGGTGGTGGCCCACGTCTTTAATCCCAGCACTTAGAAGGCAGAGGCAGGCTGATCTCTGTGAGTTCGAGGGCAGCCTGGTCTACAGAGTGAGTTCCAGGACAAAGAAACCCTGTCTCACCCCCCACCACCCCTCCCCGAGCTGAGAAAACTGAGGCTCAGGCAGATAGCTACTTGACTTAGATCCAAGAACTATAGGTATAGTCTAGATATAAAAGCAGTCTACAGAGCTATGAACTCATATTCCTAATTTCTATATGTGATGATAACAAGATACAGTAACTTAAGAGGTCTGTCAACAATCCTAAGTCCATGATTTTACAGCTGTTTCTAACCTCCAAATATTAGATGCCAAAGGATACTTACTCTTAAGTTTCTAATGCCATCTTGATGTTTCAATTTTTCAAAAAAGGACTGAAAAAAATCTGATCTCTCCACGTGTCTTGGGGCTACACAAAGTGCATCAATATCAGCTCCTACAGAAATAAAGTGATTTCTTAAGAAGGATATCTTATATTTTCATTAAAGTCACATAAATACAGAACTAAGTATGGAAAATGAGCATAAGATAACGTTAACAATGTTTATGAACACTTAGCAGTAAGATGATGGGAACTATGTTCCGTACTCACTCACTGTGAACAACTAAAACAGTTCACTAAACATTCTTATCACTAGAACATAACTAAACAGCAGTTACCTTTGGTGTGTACTCCAAGCCTGTAAGATCCAAAGGTGAAAATTTTACCGCCAACAGTAGCCACAACAGAAGGTGGGAGATTCTAAAATAGAGCAAAAAGCATTCAATCATTTAAGTTATTCTGCATAAAGAGCACCTAAATGTTTATAATCTTTTACTGAACAATTGATATACTATACTCCTTTAAGAAACTAACTCAACTATCAAAATCTAAGTCAAACTCATCTTCCCTTTAGTTTTTTTTTTTTTTTTTTTTTTTTTTTTTTTTTTTTTTTTCGAGACAGGGTTTCTCTGTGTAGCTTTTGCGCCTTTCCTGGAACTCACTTGGTAGCCCAGGCTGGCCTCGAACTCACAAAGATCCGCCTGCCTCTGCCTCCCGAGTGCTGGGATTAAAGGCGTGCGCCACCACCGCCCGGCCCCTTTAGTTTTTATTACAAGTATGTTTAATTGTTTGATATTAGCTATTCAGCTTTCTTCAAGAATGAGGTCATTCTTGATGGGAACACCTTACAAAAGATAATGGAAAGACTTCAATTTAATTTCTTTAATTGTATCATAAAAAGCTACTTTTTTTTCAGCCTGGTGGTGGTTCACACCTTTAATCCCAGCACTCAGGAGGCAGAGGCAGGCAGACCTGTGAGTTTGAGGCCAGCCTGGTCTACTGAGCGAGTTCCAGGACAGCCAGGGCTACACAAAGAAAACCAGTCTCAAAGACGAACCAACAAACCCGCTACTTTTTAACCTCTCTCTGAGCTAACTCCAACTGCTGCTTCTCGGGTATTTGCACTTGTACTCTGGTCTACTTAGTATCCATCTTAAATGTTCTTCCTGTGTTACAGACAGACAGCCTTCTGTTTCATTATCTATGGGTGAGTTTTGTTTGTTTGAGACAGGGTTCCTCAGAGCCCAAATGGCTCCAAATGAATGGCCAGTCTTCAGTCTCACCTCCCAAGTGCTGGGATTACAGCCTGCACCACCACACCTAGCTTGCCTTGCTCATTTTCCGTAAGCACTGAGGTTACAGGAGTATGGTGCACACTCCTTTGTAAGTCAGGCTCTGGGGATGCAAACTCAGGTTCTCATGCTAGTGTGATGAGTACTCGATTATCAACTGAGTTCTCCTTCCAGAGACATATTTTTAATAAGAAACTCCCAGCTCTTCAACTCTACCTAAAGTCGTCAGAGGTGAGAAATGGGTCTGCTACTGTTCGCCATCCATAGTTCCAGAATACAGGTGACTAACCTGAATAAGATTATCTGTATAACAAGACACAGCTATGTTCTGTTTAGTGCATATTAATGTTTCAAGAGTCTCACAACTAGCTAGAAAGGAGTTAATAAATTTATTAATGACTTACAATAATACAAAGGCTAAGTAAGCCAGGACATTTAAAAAAATTTCGTTTTACTTTTCTATGTTAAAAAAAAAAAAAAAAAGAGAATCCTTGCTGGGTATGGTGGTGAATACCCAGCACTGGAAGGCGGCAGGAAAATCTCTTTGAGTTTATGGCCCGCCTTGTCTGCAATAGAAAGTTCCATAACAGTCAGGGTGACACAGTGAGACACCGCCTCAAAAAAAACAAAGGGAAAGTATGATCCTTGTATTTCTATGAGAAAGTGATACACTGAATTACAGGATAAAATATTTTTATACAGCCATAGAACTTAACTAAAATTATTTTATCTGTGTTTTAGACTAGAGTATGGCAACAACATTCAAATCATCTTTGACTTAGTTCAAATCCTTCAGTTACTTATTTCCCAAATAAAAATATACATAAATGAAAGTATAATACTGACATAATGACTAGTTACTTTATCTACTGGAAAGATGTTAAAATTGACTTTTTGATTATTCATGACCAGAATATTACCTTATCCAACAACCTTAGCTACTGATATAACCCTCTTTGAGACATCAGAAATGAGCCAGATACCCTTTTGGCCACAAAAGTAAATAACAAAGATTAGATTAAATTTAATGACTAAAGTCTTAAGTCTTTAGAAGCTCATTACCTTATACTAAAAGAATCAACCCTACAAATTTATCCGAAGTATAAAATAAATGAGAATACTAACAGAAAATTTCTAAATCCATGTAGATTACAGGGCAGAAAGGACTTGATAAGTAAATACACTGAAATATTCACATTAAACTGAGTACCGTTAAGGGAAGAGTTGAGAATACTATATGAACAAACAAAAACACTTAAATGTCAAGAGGTGGGGCCATTTGGTGAATGGACAAATGGTTTACTCTGAGTGGTGTTCCTGGCAGTATTGGGCGGCAGGAAGGCCCTTAAGGAGGATGGGCTGACTGGGCTGTAGGAGGGTCTTAGGTTACGGGAGCGTGCTCTCAAAAGGGATTATGTAGGATGCCACTGATTGCTTCCTAGTTGGAGTGAAACACTTGCTCTGACATCCATTCCACTTCTGTGACTGCCATCTGCTGCCCCTGCCTCCCACCACCACCACTAGCTCAAAATTTTAGGGCTGTCTGAACTTGTATCTGAACCTCCAAAACTGTATGCTAGCTTAATCTTTTCTTCCTAAATAGTCTATCTCATTAATTAGGTAGAGTGATAAGAAGCCAGCTAATAAAAACTTTTACCACCTAGTTGAACATGCCCTATCTCATCTTAGTACAGCCAGTAAAATATTTATAATATACATGCAACAATAAAGGAAATTCATGGCCGGGCAGTAGTGGTGCACACCTTTGATTTCAGCATGCAAGAGACAGAGGCAGGCGGATCTCTGTGAGTTTGAGGCCAGCCTGGTCTACAGAGGGAGTTCCAGGACAGCCATGGATACACTGAGAAACCTTGTCAGGTGGGGGTTCACAATCCAGAACCCTCTAAAAAGGCAGAAAGATTGCAAACTGGTGTCTGATGGGCTAAGCAAGTGCAGTAAGAGAATTCGCCATGGGAAACACAGAAACTAGTAAATGGCAGTCACCCAGTCAGAAAGGAGAGAGAGGGGCTACAGGCACCGAGAGCAGGAACCTACTGCATCCAAGCCTCCGCCCCGCGCTCAAAAGCAAGCCCGGTGCTGCCAGCCGGGCACTGTAAGAAGTCTGAAGTCTGTCTCGGTAAGTAAAATCTCCTCAAACTGAAAATTCTAGACCAGTGCATGGGAGTCAAACTAGACATTGTTATAGACTTGCGGCTACACTTGGCTATCTCTGGGGTAAAACCTTATTTATTTAGAAATTCAGCTGTCTAGACCACTTTATTCCCAAATATGTCAGTGAGCCTGGTTTTTGTTGTTACTGTTGTTCCATATGGAAGCTAGTGGCTAACTTACTGTGAATCAAAATGGAGAGCTACAAAATTACAATATCCATTTAAAGTGAAACACTTACATAAAGATTTTGATGTAGTTGTAAGATATGGAAGTCAAAACCATTGGATTGAACCTTTATTTCATTTGCTCACAACCTGGCACATTACTACTACTGTTCTGCCAAAGGACAATCCCAACAAAGAGAAAGACAACTGTCCTTGGCAAACAAAGCAAAAAGCATCTTTCCAAAAGATACAAAAGTACACATCCATATCTTGTATAAAATTACTACTCAACACAAATGCTGACACCAAAGTATTTCAGGTAATCTGATTCTTACACAGTAATTTGCTAGGACGAATGGCTAAAATATGAAACATTGAATTCTATACAGTTTTAATCTTACCTTACTTTCACTGATGTCAGAAATCCATTCTTTTACTAAATTGTTCAATTTACCAAGAACAACCAGCCTATAATCAAAGATGAGAATTTTAAATTTACACTTTAAGACAAAACCAAAAACTAAACAATATAAAAGAAATAAACACACGGGTAGAAATTTTGTAATGATACCACATTAAATCCATATTATATATGTGCTAATGATAGCACATCTGTTGATACATAGCAAACCTGAGAGATCTAGGAATGCCAGACATGATAAATGTGATATTTTGGTCTTTGAGTTGTCTTCAAAAATTAAAAAACCTAATATAAATCACAAAGTTACCTTCAATGAGGCTACAGAGGTAAACTGAACTGTCAACTCTGCCTTATTATAGAGTTACATCAATGCAGTATGGTACTAGAGACTAGCATTCTCTCACTAGTACTCATGGCTTTTTGTGTAATTAAAATAGGTAAATTAATTATTGGTTACTTTTTATGAAATAGTACTTAACTAATGCAGTTTGGTATTATTAAATTTAAAACCAATGGCATAAACATCCACATTTAAAAAAAATGATTTTGGCATTCTATAAGTACATGGCAAACTATCTTCTGATCCCTATAAACTTGCTTTCTTCTCAGTCTCCCCTCAAAATGGAACTTCATCCAGTAAGACGCAGGGACTGAAAATCTTGGCATCATCTTTGGAAACTGTCTCTATTTGTCATTAAATAACCCTACCTTTAATCCATCTAGAAGAGACTACTTATTTCTATTGCTACCCTCAGGTGTCAGTGATTATTTCTAACCCGGGTTGTTATAATATCCTTTGAACGAGTCTCTCTGCTTCTGCTCTTGTCCCCTACTCCTGCCACCTTTAGAGACTATTCCCGACACCATCGCTGCAGTAACTGTTAAAAATGAGTCAGATCATGCCAATTTTCTACTCAAAACCAAGATAGGTTTCAATTTCCAAACATTTTACAGTGGCTTACAAAGTGCCCTCGTCCTAACTTCCTTCCTAAAGCCTTTTCTCTGTCTTAATGAATTTCTCCCATTTACTTGCTCTGCTTTAGACACCCAAGATCTTTTGCTTATATACTCCTCAAATACACCAACTACACATTCATTCACCTTAGGCTTTCTGCCAGAATAACTTCCTTCAAACATCCACATGGCTCCCTTCCTCAACTGTAGTTTTCCTTCAGTGTCTTTCAACAAGGTCTTCTCTAAAGACTTCTACCCTTAAACTTAATTTTTCCCACCAGTACTTACCATATATAACACTGTACTTACTTACTTGACTAGTTGTTAGTCTCCTTTCCTAATGCCTATTAAAAATTTAAGTTCCAAGAGAGCCTAGAGTTTTCTTTTTTGGCATTTTTATACACATAGGCAGGGATCATAAAGCATTCAATATGTATGAGTTAAATGATTAAACAGCATACTGTAAAAATATTTTATAGTTTCAATGACATACCTGTGGTTCAATTCTTCTTCATCTTCAAATACTCCAAATGGTTTCATAGCATCAATTAATTTCTGTGTATAAATATGATCAATTTCTTTAGGACATGCCAAACTAATTGGAGAGGTAATTCCATAATGCTTTTGTTGACACTGGCTGTCCAGCATAGTGTTTCTGTTCAAGAAAAAAGAAACAGAGGAAACAATTTTTAAAGTATTGTTTCATACCAATACACTAAACCTCTTAATTCACTTAGGTTATTTGAACTACCTTAAAAGTTTATTGAACATTACCAAAGAAGCCACTTTAAAAAAAGGGAAAGGTAGGTATTTGGTCTTCATGTAGGGCTTTCCACACAGCCTTCAGCTTTCATGGTTGTCTTTTCAAGTAGTATGTGCTGACATCAGGACAATTGTATCAACACCACTCAGTTCAAATGCAAAGAGCCTAAATGGGCCAGTGCCAGGGCTACCTCCACTACACCCTGCAGACTGAGTTAAGATTATAAAGTCTGTGAAAAGCAGTCAAACACTTGAAAGACACTCTTGTAAAAACAACGGTTTTCAAACAAGTAAAGGAACAAAACAATCCATCATAAGGTACTTAGGACATATTCTAACCTTAAAAAGAAATCACAACTAGGCTAGTCCCTGGGAAATCTATACTAACAGACATCTTTTCCTTGCATCAGAATTTACAGTTCTAATATTTTGTGACTAGTTAATATTCTCTTCATTTTAGATTGGAGCTCATACATTTTCACACTGAATAACTTTTGATTTCTTTACACTAAATAGCAACATTTTAAAGAATACAAATGGCTCTTAATAGACCTTAGCCAGTAGGAAATTACAATCTTGAATAAAGCACCACAAATTTCTGACTACATCTATGACTAAAAGATGTGGAGTAAACTTTTGTTGCAAAAGTAAAAATGAGCATATACTCTAACCTGATAACCACTTTTCTTCATACTTTCATAAAGAACTATTCATAACAATAATATAATCTCAAAATAAAAAGCAGTCTTTTAACTTTAGTAAATTAGCCTTTTAAAAAATAACAGAAGAAGAAGAGGGAGGTTAATAAATGGGACAGTCACAGTCCCTCCATCCCTTCATTCAGAAAGCTGAAGCAGAAGAATCTGAGTTCAAAGCCTAGGCTACATAACAACACCTTTTCACCAAAAAAAAGGTGTAATTGGACACTAGGATTTCTTTCTTTTTTGAGATAGAGTCTCACTATGTATCTCTGACTGTCCTGAAACTCACTATGTAGACCAGGCTGGCCTCCAATTTAGAGATCTGCCTGCCTCTGCCCCATGGGGCTGGGATTAAAGGTGTGTGCCACTATGCATGGCTCTAGGATTAATTTCTAATATTCTATAACCCAGCAGAGCAACTGTGATTAATAATTGCATTGTACATGTTTACATAATGATCAGCAAATGTAACAGACATGCCAATTACTTTAAATTGATCATTATATAAATTATGTACAAATGTGTCCATTTAAAAATTTAAACACCACAAAAATACAACAGTGTTTACTTCTTTTTGTACTAACTGCTTAAAACATTGGCGTGGGGTTGGAGACATAGCTCAGTGTTTATCTAGCATGTGTAGGGCCCTGTGTTCCATCTCTGTACCCAAAACAAATGAAACAACAGTGCCGTATTACTAGTGAGTCTACAAACTAAGACATGTTCTTCAGCTGGAGATTTTATTAGATGGGGAGAAAGAAGGGATAATACAGAAGGTGTGATAGCTTAGCCAGGTTTGGGGGCACAGGGCTCAATCCCAGCAGTCCAGAGGTTGAAGCAGAAACAAGTTCATGGCCAGTCTGGGCTGCTCGAAACCTCATCTCAACAAACAGCCTATATACCTTTGGAATGACTTAATGAAAAATAAGGGAGTGTCGAAACCAACTTTAATTTCTCCCCCATTTCCATCTTGCTGTAGAACAAACAAAACTTCAATTAATTATTCCAAGTTGTATTTCTCCCCTAAAGATCTGGGTTTTTTATATCTAAGAAAGATAAAGGTGTTTGGGTATGTTTGTGTATGATAAATACATGACACAGACAGATTCTCACACAATCAATGCCAACAACTCTTGAGAAGTAGGTCTCAACCTCTTCCCCACCTCTCCATTCTCCCCTTCATAATTTCTTCAGCTCTGACAATATAATTCCTTGTTGCACTTTACTTGAATCCTCAAAAAGTTGGCTATCTAGGAATCTACTGGGCTCCAAATTCAAAATCTAGGGTTCTGAACCTCTCTTGTGGGACAATGGGGAAGTAAACGACATACCCCCACATACCCTTCAACCTATCATCAACTTCGCTTACAAAATTTTACTGCAGGTACACAAGATAAGTAAATAGAATGTTCATTGACAGTCTGTTAAAAGGACTGCACTGGAGTGTATTTATAAATGGAATACATTAATTAAGAATTAATTAGAAATGAAAAAAATAAGATAAAGGTCAGAGAGAACATGTCCTAAAGAATCAGGCTGCAGAGTAGTAGCTGTGATGTACTTATAGACAGCTAAAAACAAGTACAATGGGTTATGGACACAAGAATATGTATTATTAACATTAAAAATGCAGCAAAAATAACCACCAAATTCAGTACTTTGGGGCCTTGGAAGAGCGACATGAATGGAATCAGAGCAGGGATAGGCGAGTCCTTCAGATGTATTGGAATGCTTGACTTCTTTTAAAGAAAGAAGACTAAAGAGGTAAGAACACACCCCATGCTCTTCTGTGGGAGAGATGGGTGGTGACTACACAAACGGTGTGTTTTTGTTGTTGTTGTTTTGTTTTTCTGTGCATTTTTCTGCATGTTTAAATCATTTCCAGGTAAAGTGCAACGTAAGGAGCTCTAATACATTCTTGGCAAGTACGGAAACTGCTTCTGACTTATCCAAGTGTGAGCAGGGGATCCAGCCCGGTAGCCGCTGTGGGTCTGCGGGAAGGGACGGGGGCGCAGGCTAGGGTTACCCCTCCTCCGAGGGCGAGCAAGCCCACACCCGCGGGCTGGGCTGGGCTGGGTCAGCCCCTCCGCAGGACCTGAAGACAGCGGGTCCGGCGGCGGGGGAGGAGGGGGAGGCAGGGGGACGGCGTGTGCGCCAATGCAGACCGGAGCGGGCGGGCTGGGGCAGGGCTGGGGCAGGAGAGGGACCGACCGTTTGTCTCCTCAGCCACACGCGCCTTTCCCCCGCATCCTGGTCCGGGGGCGTCCTCGGGCGGGCGGCGGGGGGCTGG